TAAGAGGGCACGGCTGCTGCACCTGTCCACTACCAGAGGTTTCCGAGCGACGCACTCCAGAGCGACTACCACTACGGCGACCCCGACAGCCCAAACTGGCGTACCACTCACGAGCCTGCTGGAGCTGCATCTGGCCACGTCAGGAGCAGCAGCAGTAGCGGGAGTAGTGCTGGCAGGGCAAAGCTCACCAGTGGTAGGCGCGGCGGGCGCAAGACGGTGGTGACAGCGGGGCCGCTGCAACTGCGGGGCGGGGCCAGGTCGCAGCAGGGAGCTCCGCGGCAGCTGCTGCAGGGTCGGCGGCGGCAGCTGCTGTAAGGTCGACGGCGGCAGATGCTGCAGTCTCAGCGGCGGCAGCTGCTGTAGAGTCGGGGGCGGCTGCTGCTGGAGGGCCGGTGGCGGCAGCTGCTGCAGGTCGAGCGGCGGCTGCTGCTGCAGGCTCGGCGGCTGCAGCTGCTGAAGGTCCGGCGGCGGCCTCTGCTGCAGGCTCGGCGGCGGCAGCTGCGGTAGGCTCGGCGGCGGCAGCTGCTGCAGGTCTGGCGGCGGCTGCTGCTGCAGGCTCGGCGGTGACAGCTGCTGCAGGTCGAGCGGCGGCTGCTGTGGCAGGTTAGGCGGCGGTAGCTGCTGTAGGTCCGGCAGCGACGAAGCCGCGAAGGGGCGGCTGAGGGGTCGCGACGAGCAGCTAAGGGGCTGCGACGCACGGGTAAGGGGCCGCGACGAGCGGGTAAGAGACCGCTACGGCGGCTAAGGGGCAGCAGTGAGCCGCGCGCAGGCTTAGAGCAGAGGCAGCGGCGCGCGGGCAGCGGCAGCAGCAGTGGCGCGCGAGCGCACAGGCGGCAGCTGGCAACGGGCGGCAGCAGCAGCGGGCGCGACAGTAGGAGCTGCAGCGGCGCGCGACCGCGGAGCAGGTTGCGGGCAGCGCGCGAGGCCGCGCGCGAAGAGACGGCCGCGCGCGGGCGGCTAGCGGGTCGCGCGCGAAAAAAAAAAAATCGACCGCGCGCGGGCGGCTAGCGGGTCGCGCGCATAAAAAAAAAAAAAGACGAGCCGCACGCGGTTGGCTAGCGGGCTGCATGTGCGCGGTAGGTAGAAGGCGCACGAGGGCGCGTAGGTAGGTAGGTAGTTAACGGTGGGCCCTAAAACGGTCCTAGTGACGGACCTGCTCTGAAACCATGTCAGAATGAACGGACAGGAATGACTGTACTAGCACAAAGTTGGATACAAGTAGGAAACCCTAATCTAGTGTACCCCTTAAGGTGTAACCCACTACAGCCTACAATCATATAAACATATAATGTTTGACAGGAGCCAGGCGCAAAACCAACTGTTCGGTCACAGTGGCGGCTCAGCCAACCGGAGCTCGACGAGTTGCGGAAACAGCTGGACTACCTGCTTTCGAAGGGTTTTATCCGGCCGAGCACGTCACCTTACGCCGCCCCGATACTGTTCACGCCGAAGAAAGACGGAGGCCTGCGCATGTGTATCGACTATCGAGCGCTGAATCGGATCACCATCAAGTCGCGTTACCCGATTCCGCGAGCGGACGACCTGCTGGATCAGCTTCGCGGGGCTCGCTTCTTCTCGAAAATCGATTTGCGAGGTGGCTACCATCAGATTCGCGTGTTCGCCGACGACTGCCCGAAAACTGCATTTCGCACCCGCTACAGCAGTTACGAATATACAGTGATGCCGTTCGGACTGACGAATGCACCCTCGACTTTCCAGCTCACCATGAATGGGGTGTTTCGGGACATGTTGGACAAGAAGGTGATAGTTTACCTTCTGGTGTACAGCAAGACTCGGGAGCAGCATTTACGGGATTTGGAAGAAGTGTTCCGGCGCTTGCAGCAGAACCGACTGATCACTAAGGGCTCTAAGTGTGAGTTCTTACAGCCGGAGCTGGAGTTCCTGGGGCACGTGGTTTCAGGGGAGGGTATTAAAATTGACCCTCGCAAAATCAAAGCGATTTCGGAGTGGAAGACGCCCACGACCATCACGGAGTTGCAGAGTTTCCTCGGGTTCGTCAACTACGTCCGTCGTTTTGTACCGAATATGGCGAGGGTGACCAGACCGTTAACCGACCTTCTGCATAAGGGCGTGCAATTTTTGTGGGGGGAAAGAGAGCAGCTGGCCTTCGACGAGCTGAAGAAAATTTTGAGTTCACCCCCCGGTACTTCGCCTGGCGGATCCATCTCGACCGTTCGAAGTTGTCACGGACGCCAGCGATTTCGCCGTCGGCGCTGTGCTACTACAGGATTTCGGCAACGGACTGCAACCCATCGCGTACGAGTCAAGAAAAATGCAGCCGCCCGAGCGCAACTACCCTGTACACGACAAAGAAATGCTCGCCATCGTGCATGCGTTTCGTACCTGGCGCTGTTACCTCACGGGAGCTGACGTCACCGTCCGGACCGACCACAAGTCATTACAGTACATGCGCAGCCAACCACAGCTCAACCCGCGACAAATTCGGTGGCTCGATTACCTCGAGTCCAACTTCAGCTACACCATCACTTACAAGAAGGGCGCCAACAACATCGCCGACGCCCTGACCCGCCCATCAATGCAAACCGCAGCCGTACTAGTCGCCCATTCTAACCCGTTATTGGCAGGATTATTCAAGCATGGCTACAGGACTTACAGGTTCTTCAGGACCAACCTACACCAACGGGTCACCACGGCGCATGGGAGCTACTACCTAAAAGCCGGTACCAGCCGTGTTTGGGTACCTTCCTACCGACCCCTCAGAGAATTGCTGACGCAGGAAGTCCACGACTCCAACCTCTCCGGGCATTTCGGCATCGACAAAACGTTGAAGCTGCTGCAGCGGAATTATTTCTGGCCCGACATGGCGTCGGACGTGCAGCGCTACGTGTCCGCCTGCCCGACCTGCCAAGCAATGAAATCATCACGCCAACGCCCGGCTGGATTGCTGCAGCCCCTCGAGCCACCCGAACGACCATGGCAACAGGTGACGATGGACTTCGTCACGGGGCTGCCAGCCGGCGCAAGTGGCAACGACTCCGTGCTCGTGGTCGTCGATCGCTTAACGAAAATGGCGCATTTTGCACCATGCCGCACGACGATCACGGCCGAAGAAACAGCGAAGCTCTTCATCTCGACCGTCGTGCGACTGCACGGGTTACCGTCGGCGATCATCAGCGACCTCGACCCGAAATTCACGTCGAAGTTCTGGCAGGAGACGTGGGCACAGTACGGCACCCGCCTGCAGTTTTCGTCGTCATACCACCCGCAAACCGACGGACAGACAGAGAGGACAAATCAGACAATGGAGCAGTTGATCCGTACAAACTGCCCCGACATCACCAAGTGGGAAGATTCGCTTCCCATGCTCGAGTTCGCATACAACAATGCCCCATCTGCGACGACCAATCACTCACCGTTCTACCTCAATTACGGGATAGACCCGGTGGTACCCTCGTCCACGACTCTCGACAATCCGGTACCACGGTCGCAGCAGTTCGTCTCGGAACTTCAAGCGGCACGCGACAAAGCAGCGGAATTTATTCGGAAGGCTAATACGGCCGCCAGCCGCTATGCTGACCGACACCGACGGAACTTACCCTTCCGTGACGGGCAGATGGTCCTTCTAGACACGAAGAATCTCAAACTGCCCCAGCCCGCAAAATTGCGTCCCCGCTACGTGGGACCTTTCCGCATCATTCGGATGCTGACACCGATCACGGCGAAACTTCTCCTACCGGACGACTGGAAGATCCACGACGCTTTCCACGTCAGTCTCCTGCGCCACTACGTGGCACCGCAGCCTTCCGACGTCGCTCGACCCAACCTGGCGCCAAGTGTCCGACCTGTGGCAGATCCGACACTTCATCCTTGGAAGATCCTGAATCATCGCATTCGTGCGACCCCCGCTGGACGCCACGTCGACTTCCTACTATGCTGGGTGGATTGCACAAGCGAAGATGACACGTGGGTCCCTGCTGACTCACTCCAAGGGCACTCGGTCCTTCGGGATTATCTCTCCCGCCGACGCGTGCCTGATATTGACCACCTTTCTTAAGAGGGGGGGGTAGTGTAAGGAATTTTGCTAATTCCTTACTGAGGCAGCTCTTGCGCGTATAATTCCAACTTTCGGAAATCAGGCTCGGTCCGCCGACCTCGCCTTCCGAACGTCTGCCGCATCGCCTTCGGGTTTCCCAACCCCAAACCTGCACCCAACCTTCGCACAAACCCGCGACCTTGGCCTAGTATGCCTAGGCCTCGTTGTTTGCTCAGTAGTTGTAATCACTTCCGCGATATTGCATTCTGCGCACTCTTCATTCATACAACTCATAACAGTGCAAGTGCACGGATTCAAGCATTCCTAAATTCTGGCTTACATGTTCTATTCAAGGTGTTCCCTGCTGGCGTCCCAGCACGTACATCCTGTACGAAGTAAACAGATGCGCGGTGCAGCCTGTAGAGCATTTCCCATACCGACGTAGATGAGCCAAGTAACATGTCAACCATTTCCCGCACTGACATGGACGAGAGCCCGGGAGCGCAAACGGTCATTTCATCATTCATGCACCCACATGGACGAGCCAAGTGCCATGTCAAGCAGTCTATAAACTGGCATGGATGAGCGGCGTAACATGTCGACCATTTCTTGTGCTGACATGGACGAGCCACGTCACCCGTTGAGCGTTTCCTGTGCTGACATGGATGGACCACGTGAATTCTTCACCATTTCTTGTGATGAAATGGATGAGCAACTGTACTGACATGGATGCGCCTTGTAGCATGTCAAGCATTCCCCGGGCTCCCTTGGCCGAGCCACATAACATGTGAACCATTTCCTGCTCCCAGTCAGGTTGAACACTGGAGTGGATACAGGAATGGACGGCTGGAGATCAGGATGGTGCAGATGAACCAGATGTTGACGGCTGGGATGGAGTGGATGAGCCACGTGGCATGGTGCGTGTCTCCTTTGACATCCTGCGTATCTCCTGCAATCACCAGCAGAGTGGATGGACGCGAGAAATTCAGTAAGTCACTGATACCAGACCAGTCAGCCGAATGATGCGCACTGCACCAGCTTCCTTGCCCAGTCTGCATATAGCAGCAACGCTCATAAGGTTCTACAATACAGCACAGCCAGCACGACTGCATCAAACGTCTTGCCGCTGCTGTGCAAAACCGCACTACCCTGCTACTCTTCACGCACGACTACACCCTGAAATTCCCTTTCCCCATACACCCACCCACACCCCACCCTCACCTCTTTTGCCTTGAGGTACTTCCTCCAGTACACTGCTGTGGCTGGCTTATCCGCCCCCCCCGGCCCTCCGTTGTATGCCCTCACCACAAACTCCTCACTGCGATGGCTGATGAGGGAGAGTGGTAGGTGGAGGGGGAGGGGAAGGGGTAGAGGGAGGGGTAGATGGAGGGGTAGGGGGAGGGGGAGAGGTACAGGTAGGGAGGGGGAATTGGGATGGTGGGTGGGAGCGGAGAGGGAGCGGGCGAGTGCATTGTCTGTACCACCCCCAGGGTTTCTCTTGTATGTTAACCCAGGTCATCCATACTAGAGCTTTCTTTCTGCAGCATGACATGCGAAAACACATGTCAAGCACTCACACGCCCTTGAAATTCGTGAGCCATGCAATGCAAGGTACGCCATGCCATAGTACATTCCCTGGAACGGGGGGTAGAGCATGGCAGACGCCCAGTCCACGGTGTAGGCGCGGTACCCCATGTGCTCTGCCAGCCACTTGGCTGTTGACTGCAGCACCTGCTCACAGTTAGGAAGACATGTTGTGTCGACATGTCATGTAGAAAAGCATGTCATCCTGGCTGTGGATTTCCGTGCAGCGAGTGAGACATGCCAAAACAGTTAAAAGACTCGTCTCCCCCGCACCTGCATGAGCCCTGCGCTTGCCTCCCCACGATGGCTTTGCACGCATTTTCGAGACACCTCTCTCTCGCGAATGAACACGCATCTATGCCCTCTCTCCCTCCCGCTCCCAATCTCTCACACCTGCATGAGCCCCGTGCTGGCCTCCCCCTTGTGCGGCTCGAACCTGTACGCCAGAGGCTCCCACGAGCTCTCCACGCGCGCCACTGCACACACCAGCTCCCATTCATGGCCCTGCATGCCCACCGGTGCCAGCCGCCCACTGAAGTGGCGGCGCAGGAGAATTGACGCCACCGCCTGAATCTCTGGGGGTACAACGGGAGAGGGGGGAGGTGATGAGAGGGATGGAGATGATGGTTGAAGTAGAGTGTGGGATAGCCCCGGTCAAAACGGCTCCTCTCACCCTCACGCTTGCCTCACTTCTGCACTCCTCTCTGATTCACTCCCCCTCCCCTATCTCTACCTTCAAGCACGACGTGTGGCATAAAAATATTTACACAAGAGCGAGGAAAAAAAAAGCAGGCATACTCTAAAACGCACTCACTCATCCCATATCTCCCTCATCTTCCCCCTTCCTATCTCTACCTTCAAGCACGAGGTAAGACACTCTCCTCATCTTAAACGGAACCTTCCCGGATGCTTCTCGCCTCTGCTCCCACAGCAGCTTAACACTCGGTTGGGCCCACATGGCTCGCATGTCCTTGTCATTCGCGTAGTCGTCCCAGTAGTACACGCGACTCCCCTGGTCAGCCATGTGACCGTTGATGCTAACTTCCGAGGCGCCTCGAGAGTCTCCGCGATTATCCGTGTGACTGTTGAGAGTAACTTCAGATATACTGGGGCGAGAATACTAATTCCAAAATCTATTCTCGTCGATGGTAACGCGTCTGGCGGGAACTTTCCTCTCCAAGTGCCGGATTAAAGCCAGGGTCTCAAGTAAAACGAGTGTTTTGCAGTTGGCGGTAGGAGGTTGACTGAGATTGGTTGGCGAGGTCCAAGTTTTGAGGAGGGGTGAAGCGAAGGTTGCGAAGCGGATACAAATCGTTGGTGTGCGTCCGAACCAATTAGGCTCGGAAGTTGGTGTGGGCCGAAGCTGAAATGACAGCAACTTCCCGACAGCCCAGAAAGTAAAAAGCAGAATGTTTTGCAATTGCTCGTGGGGCAAAAACTGGGGTGTGTCGCACACTACTTCCCAGGCCAACCAGTCAGCTCGCCAGCTACAAACAGAGTAACGGAGGGTCGAGTGTTTTGCAGTTGACGCCAGATTCTCTTACTTGAGACCCTGGCTTTAAGTAGACACACCCGAATTGCCAATTCCCAATTGCCGAATCGCCGTTTGATGTGGCAATTCGGCCCGTCGGTTGTGACTGGAAGGGGGACCGTTGGATGGCGTTGCATGCATCGTCGGAAATGCTCCTTTGTCGGTCTTCCGACACGTTAGCTGCGGACGCCGTTTCCGTCAGGCACTTGCCGAGGTGGGGACAAGGTAAGCTACTGGAAAGGTGTGCTGGAGGAGTAGAGCGATTCTCTCCCGCTCAGACTTCAGCCATTGCTATCCCACATCACCTCACCTCACCGCACTGAAGTGTACATTCCATTCCATTTCGTTTCGGAACCACAATTTTCCTCGCCCCCCAGCATGGTAGTGGTTGACTTGTCGCAGCAACTCTCTCACAGAAAGTTCCGTTCCGCCATTTCATTTCCAGTTGTTTTCCTGTGAGCCTGAAGCTCAGCGTCGACCCTCACTGCGCCGCGACCTAATAAGTCGTCGAGCACTTTTTGCTAGTTTCAACAACACCTTCTTAATTAGTCGGAATGGCTGCTGCATCACCGATCGCACAGCTGACAGACGATCTTCTCGCCATTATTTTCCATTTCGTCAGTCGATCCGACGGCCAGTTCCAGCACGCGCTTGTGTGCAAGAAATGGCATCGCATCGCCCGTCGCGTGCACGACCATATCCAGATTTGCGAAAACCGTCGCATGCGTCCTCGCGAGCTGCTCGCGCACCTCTCGTCATTCCCAAGGCTCCGAAAGCTCGTCCTCGCCAACGGCAGCCTCACGTCCGTCCCTGACTCCCTCCTCTCGCGGATTGCCGACGCGTGTCCAGATCTGACGGACCTTTGCGTAGATACGATGGCACGACAGTACAGACGCGGGGGTTTCACTGAGAACGGACTTTCTTTTTTCTTTGAGAGATGCACGCGGCTGGAGGGACTTCATCTCGACTGTCAGTCGAATCTGACCACCATTCCCGCGTCAATCGGTGGCCTTGCGTCACTCAAGAGCCTGCACATCAAGGACAGGGGGAGAATCGCTCTCATCCCAGACGCGTTCACCTCGTTACAGTCACTCACACATCTCGTGCTTGAACTGTGCTGCCTGGATGAGCTGCCTCAGGGCTTCGGCAATCTGACGCTCCTCAAGTCGCTCCAGCTAAATAGATGCATGGGTCTCGGATCCATTCCCGATTCTTTCGGGCAGCTTACCAACTTGACCCATCTTTCCATCAGCGGCTCCGCGGCAAGTCTTCAGCTGCCCGAATCCACCTCCAATCTCTCGTCCCTACTGACCCTCGAAATTTCCAACTGCAAAGACCTTGCACCGCTGCCCGAGAGTTTTGGAAACCTGCCGGCGCTTGAAACCCTACGACTGGAGGAGGTGGGGGGAATCACCAACCTGCCCGCCAGTCTTGTGCATCTGCAGCGGCTGCGGCTCCTTTCTGTGATCAACTGCTACAAATTAGTCTCTATCCCTACCCCACTTTCCCACCTGACCTCTCTGACGGACCTTATTCTCGTTGGCCAAGCACTCGACCTCCTGCCTCTTGACATCGGTCCACTACCACACCTACGCACTCTGAAGCTGGATGGAATTCGGGTGCATCTTCCTCCGTCTATAACCCTTGCTACTGCGATGAAAGAGCTTACGCTTCATGACTTCAGAGTTATATGTTCGCTACCCGAGGAATTTGGGCAACTGACTGCCCTGGCGACCCTGCACCTCATGAAGCTTCCACGGCTCACCAGCCTGCCGTCATCGCTGGGCGACGTGACGAGCCTCAAGGAGCTGAAGATTTCTGAATGCAGCCAGCTGGCGCAGCTTCCACACTCCCTCACTCTGCTGTCTTCCCTCGAGCTGCTGGAAATCAGTCACTGCTGCAATCTGACGGCGCTACCGCAGGGCATGGGGAATGGTCTGCATAGCCTGCGCAGACTCTTTCTGCGCGAATGCGCTGCTCTCACCTGCCTTCCTCCATCCTTCTCCAGCCTCTCCTCCCTCGAAACCCTAGAAATCCATCAAGCAACCAGCTTAGGCGCGCTACCAGACGGATTCTCCCACTTGACAAGCCTCAGGAAGCTCGCTCTCTGCTTCTTACCGCACCTGCCCGCCCTGCTTGCCTCCCTCCCTGCCATCGCCCATTCTCTCACCAGCCTCGAGCTGCTCTCCTGCACGCAAATCAGTGCCCTGCCAGAGGAAATCGGATGGCTGGGAGGGCTTGAAACACTCGAGCTCTACGAACTGCCCAAGCTGAAGTCGCTCCCTCGCTCGCTGTGTCAGCTGCAGCGATTGAAATATCTGCAAGTGAGAAACTGCAGCGCGCTGCAGTTGCTGTTTGGGGATGAGGACCTGGGAGTCGTTCCGTATGGCTATGGCTTAGGGGCGGGAAGCACCCGTCTCGAGTTTGCCGGTCACACCGGTTGCAGCAGTGCCGCTGGCAGCAGTGGGGGATCGGAGGGAAAGGACAAGAGCGTGTTGTTGCCATCCCTTGAGAGCCTTGAGATTTCGGGCCCTCCTCTGCAGCTGCTCGGTCCATCGCTGGGCTGCTTCCCGTCGCTCACAGCGTTGAAAATCTCCGCAATGCATTGGCTCCGCGCGCTCCCACCTCCCGACTCTCTCGCTTGCAGTCACTCACGATCAGTTCTACCGCAAGCCTGCCAACTCTGGCAGAGGCAATAGGGAAGCTCTCGGCACTCACATCCCTCCATCTTGACAGTCTCATGAGCTTGACTGAGCTGCCCGCGTCATTTGGGCAGCTGAAGAAGCTTCAGTTTTTGAAAATTTACAGCAGCCCGGGCCTAACCAGGCTTCCTGAGTCCTTCCCTGATCTATGCAGGCTGGAGTCGTGTTGTTTGTGCAATGTCGGAATTTCGTGCCTTCCAGATGACTTGTGGAAGCTCTTGTCTCTAAAGGACCTCTCCCTCATGTCACTGCCCAAACTCCGCAGCCTGCCCGAAACTTTTTCGCAGCTGCCCAGGCTGGAGGGTTTGACCCTGCTTGGGTGCAAGCGGCTGGCTCGGTTACCCACGGGGCTGCGGCAGATGGGGAAGCTGCAGGCATGCGTTATCACAGACTGTCGGCTACTGTCTAAACGACAGAAGATGGTGATTTGCGGTACAGCGAACCTGGACGAGGGGGAGCGTGTGGTGGGTGGCTCAGAGGAAGAAGATGAAGGGGAAGTGTGGATGGGGGAGGAGGATGAGGGGAGCGAGAGAGGGGAGAGTGAAGGGGAGGAAGGAGAAGGGAGTGAATGATAGGATGGAGAGGTGAGTGAAGGGAAGGATGGAGAGGGGAGTGAAGGGGGCGGTGGTGGAAGGAAGAACGGAGAAGAAGGACCAGGGAGGGAAGAGCAGGGGAGTGGGGAACAGGTTGAGGAGGTGGAGTGGGGAACAGGTTGAGGAGGTGGAGTGGGGAACAGGTTGAGGAGGTGGAGTGAGATAACGGATAGAAGGACGAGGAAGGCAAGGTGGGGGAGGTGGAGGAGGATGGCAAGTTGATGGAAGAGGAGTATTCAGAGTAGTTTATAGGTGAGGTGGTGAGGGGGGGGGGGGGGGGGGGGGGAAGAGAGGAGAGTATGATTCTATGCATGTCATGGTATCATCGCTTGTCATCTCAACCTGAATGATACTCTTACTTTGATGCCTGAACGAGTGTTGTAATTCCGTTCCTTGTCTTGGTAAGGTTGCACCACTGAAGCCTGCCTCGGTCTCTCCTCCACTGCTCCCCGTCCCCCCCCCCCCAGAGTGCCAGGTCATTGAGCTGCCAGTCTCTCAACGCCATGCTGCCAGGTGCAAGGCGTTGCCGGAGGAGATCGGATCGTTGGGAGCAGCCTAGCTCGAGCAGCCTAGCTCGAGCATTGGGGCTTGTCGGATCGTTGGAGGCGCTCGTGCACCTCAGGCTCTCAGAATTACCCGATCTGAAGTGTCTCCCTCGCTCGCTGTGTCAGCTGCAGCGGTTGAAATCTCTGCGAGTGAGTTTCTGCACCGCGCTGGAGCCGCTGTTTGGGGATGAAGTCACAGGAGCTGCCAGGCATGACATTGAGGGAAGCAAATCACCCTCCTCAGCTTGGCCAGCTGCAATTGTTTCAGCTGTGGTGATCCAAGGAAAGTGGCATTGCGTGTTCTTTCCATCCCTTCAAGTCCCTTGAGGTCCTTAAGCTTACAGCCCTTCCACTGCAGCGGCTCGGTGCATCGCTGGGCTCCTTCCTGTCGCTAACCAAGCTGGAAATTCTCGAAATGCATCGCATCACCTCACTCCCAGCCTCCATCTCTCGCCTCTCTCTCTTGCAGTCTCTCACGGTCAGCCATGCCAAAGGCCTGCTATCTCTGCCTGAAACGCTAGGGGGGCTGCCAGCGCTCACAACCCTCCAACTCGACAATCTCCTGAGCTTGTCTAAGCTGCCCGAGTCGTTCGGGCAGCTGAACATGATTCAGTACTTGGAAATATATCGCAGCCCAGGCCTTACCAAGCTTCCCGATTCCTTCCCCGGTCTGTGCCGACTGGAGCTGTGCTATATCTCCAGAATCGGAATCTCGTGCCTTCCAGATGACTTCTGTAAGCTACAAGACTTGCATCTGCACTCGTGCGAGCAACTTGTTCGGTTACCCACGGGTCTGCAGCAGATGGCGAAGCTGCATGCATGCACTGTCACAGAGTGCCCGCTGCTGTCAACGGGACAGAGGGTGGTGATCTGTGGTTCAGCGGACCTGGACGAGGGGGAGCATGTGGTGGGTGGTGTAGAGCAAGAGGATGGGGGGGTAGAGGAGATAAGGGAGGAAGATGGGGGGGTGAAGAAGAGGAGGGAGTAGTAGGGAGTGAAGCAGAGGGGAGCGAAGGGCAGGGGAGTGTGGAAGTGGGGGAGGATGTGGAGTGAATTGGAGATGAGGAGAAGGAGGAAGGCAAGGATTTAAAGGTGAAAGGGGATGGCACGGAGATGCAAGAGGAATTATGAAATTGGTGAGCTGGTTGGGGGATGAGTGGGTTGGCTAGAGAGGGAAGAGTACGATTGTATGCAGTCCTTGGTATCATAGCGTTTCATGTCAACTCAAGTTGTATTCGCACTGCTGGTGGCAGAACGACTTTTGAGCCGCATAAAGAAACCGTGTCATGTCAACCTGAGTGGTACATTGTTGCCGAGATGTGTGTTTGATTTCCGTTTCTGGTCATGGTTAGGTTGCACCACTGAAGCCTTCACTGCCGTCCCTCCCCCCCAATCTCCCGCAGCCGACTTCACCCATTTCGCTGCTGGCACTCCAGGTTGTGCTGAGCTGGCATCTCTCGATGCTACGCTGTCAGACTTCAGAGCAAACCCCGGGCAGGTTTCACAAGTTTTCTGCTTCACATGGGCAGTGGTTCTAGAGAAGTCCGCCACTGCAGCTTAGCAAGCCAGATGTGTCTTTTAGGGGGGAAATCCAAGGGTGTTGACCTGTGGTGCAGTGAACCTGGACGAGGGAGAGTGTGCAGTGTGTGGCTCGGGGGAAGAAGATGAAGTAGAAGTGCGGTTGTGGGCGGAAGGAGAGGAGTGAAAGCGAGGGTAGTGAAGGGTCGGTTAGTGGGAAAACGGGAAAGGGCGTGGAGTGAGATGGAGATGAGGAGGAAGAGGAAGGCAAGGATGGGGAGGTGAGGCATGGGGATGGTGAGGAGATGGAGTCGTAGGATTTAGAGGATGATTAGGAGGTAGGTGAGGTGGCTAGTACTAGTATCAGTGACATTTCACCACGTTACGTTACTGAAGTGGTACTCCTGCTTTGTTGCATTTACGGTTTAGGTAGGTCATGGTTAGGTTGCAATATTATTAGTGTTCATGCACAGATGGGTTATATGCAACGTAAATTACCCTATCAACCTCCAACTCTCGGAAAATAAGCACAATCAGCTACTGTATTGTCGTCGTTATTTGGAATGTGACAGACAAAGGTGATGTCAGGTAGCATCAGATGACGGCAAGATGCAGATGGTGGGGCAGCTTGACCGGTTCACAGGCATGCCATCGGATGAGAAAGGGTGCAGATGGGTGGGTCACTGCCTGCCTTTCTTCACTTGAGTCAACGAGCTCGGTGCACCTTCTCTGTTTCCAACTGGGAGGAGGGAGGTCCAGGAAGGAGAAATGAAAGAGATGGGCTATGAGGAGAGAGTGATTGAGGTGAGTTGAAATGGTGAGCATCAAATACATGGCACAGAATAGCGATGGAACAGCAAGGAGTAGCTGAGAAGGAAACATTGCCCCCACCCACATGCATAGAGCTGGGGAGACTTGAATGCACCAAGTGTTGAGAATGTGTGTAGCTCCGGGACCTAACAGGAAGACCTCTCAATTTGATTCAACCGACCTCGCGGATCTCCCTAACTCATGCATTTCGGCATCATCTTGCAATGCATAGTCCTCCATGCCACGGATAGAAAACAGTACAATCCCACAGCAACACACTCCACCACCATGACCAGCCCCCTCCCTTGTGCTCGTGCATGCAAGCACAGACCCACGAGGTCAAAGCTCACCTCCACTGGAACTGGCATTGGCGCGCGAATCAGCATCTGCAAATGGACCGTTGCGGCGTGCGCCATGAGAGGCTGCTGCCGTTCCGATATGACCCGCCGTGTCTGTGCTGCGAGTGACAGTAGATCTGTTGGTGCGGGCGGCAGTGGTTCTGTCAGTGCGGGCGGCGGTGCTGCAGGTGATGCGGGTGGCAGTGGAGGGGTTGCCATTGGCAGTAGTGGTGCTGGAAGTGCGGGTGGCACTTGCGCCGGCAATGCGGGCGCCAATGGTGCCTGCGGTGTGGCCAGCAGTGGTAATGGTAGTGCGGGCGGGAATGGTGCTGTTATCAATGTGGGCTGTAGTGGTGCCTCTGTTGCGGGCAGAAGCGATGCCGGTGTTTCGGGCGGCAATTGTGATATTGGTGCGGGCGGCAGAAGGGTTGGTGGTGCGTGAGGCAGGGGTGCCGGTGGTGCGGGAGGCAGTGGCGGAGGTAGTGAAAGCGGGAATGGTGCGGGTGGTGTTGGCGGCGGTGGCGCCTGTGATGCCGGTGGTGGTGGTGGCGGTAGAATTGGCAGCAGTGGTGCTGGTAACACGGGTGGCAGGGCGTCGGGTAGTGCGGGTGGCGATGGTGCCTGTAGTGCCGGCGGCAGTGGTATCGGTGGTGGCGTTGGTGTGAGGTGCCATAGCGAATTGGGTAGTTGAGCGGGTGGCAGCACGGGGAGCAGCTCGAGCTGTGGTGCAAAGAGTAGTCACGGCTGTAGCGTGAGTGGCCGCGACTGATGCAACACGTTGAGAGGCATGGCGAGCAGTATGGGCTGTCGCACAAGGCAATGCACGAAACAGGTGCACCATAGCATGATTATGAGTATGGGAACAAGCATAGGGCAAAGGATGGTATGCCTTGTGGCATGAGGACAAACATGAGCCATCTCATGTGGTGAGAACACATGGGTTTGAAGTCCCAGGTTAGAAAGGCTGACTTGTGAAATGTTTGAACTCGACCAAAAATGGGGAAGTTAGTGAGATGAGAGGTGATTCGGGAACAAGGTAGTGAATACAGACGGCATCCGCCACATTAGTTTGTTCTTTAGGCACCCAACTGAGACTGCAGTGGGATGCTAAGGAGCAACAGCAGAAGCACCACGGATCAGCGAGGAGAGCCTCTCGCGATCTCTCACCTGCTACCCTCTCTCTCCTCTCTGTGAACCTCTCCCCCTCCTCTATGCCAACCTTCTCTCCCATTCTCTACCCTGCTAACCCCTCTACAAGCCAAATTGAAGTCCCCCCTCACTGCTGCTCCTATGTACCAGTTAACCGCTCTCTGCCAACCTTCTGTCCCTCTCTGCTCTTTCCCCCCCCTCTCTGCTCCGCCAACCACCCCTTCCCCCTCAGCGTCTACCACCCGCCCTCTCTTCCAACCACTCGCCACCTCACTCTGCCAACCTCCTTCCCCGGCCCCCCAACCTACCCTCATGCTTTTCCAAGCATTTCCCATCCTCTCTGCACCTTCCCCAACTCTTTGCCAACCTTCTCTCCCCCTCTTTGTCAAACCCCTGCCACCACCCCCCCCTCCCCTCCCTCCCCCAACCCCCTCCCCTCCTCCGCCAACCTTTTCCTTTCTGCCAACCTTCCCAATTCAGTCACTGAGAACCTTTCCCACCCCTCTCTGCCAACACCCCTTCTCTCTAAGTGCCAACGTTTCCCTCTCTATCGCAATCTCCCTTCTGCCTGCATGCCCTCCCCCGTCCCCGCCAAGCTTCTCCCCTTCCCCCAAGCCCCCATTGGGAATGCAGGTTACCTGGGGAGGTGGTGACATGCTGGGCCGTTGGTGCAGCAGATCGACGGGCACGGGAGGACGACGCAGGAGGTCCACCAACGGCTGTAGCACGAACAGCTGTAGCTGCTGTGGTCCGAATGGATGTGGTAGCAAGAGGAGCAGCATGACTGGTTGAGGCCGAAGGCGCCCCCATGGCTGACATTGCAGCTGTAGACTGACCTCCGGGAGAAACCAGTGAATAGGGAGAGAAGAGAACAAGCAGGAGGAAGAGAACCGGTGAGCTGACAGAGCAGGAGCTGACAGAGCAGGACTCACAGGAGCTGACAGAGCAGGAGCTGACAGAGCAGGAGCTGACAGAGCAGGAGCTGACAGAGCAGGAGCTGACAGGGCAGGAGCTGACAGAGCAGGAGCTGACAGAGCAGGAGCTGACAGGGCAGGAGCTTATCATTGAATGCATCTGGGAGAATGAATATGAGTGCAAGGCACCCACCGGCAGCTCCCAGCATTGGACAGACATGGCCAGTCTCAAAGCTGCTCACTAAAAGCATCTGTGAAAAAACTGGCACATGAATCGTTTTACCTAAGCAGCACTAGCAGCAAGCCAGCAGATGGACTCACATCGTCGGCATGGTCACTGGTGCCAGCTTCCTCGTTGTGATCCTCGTTCTGCATCCCTTGGCTACCCTCCTCAACGTCCCTTCCCTCGTCCGCCACCTCTGGTCCTGTTGCACCTGCTCTCATAGTATCGATGTAGGACCCCCTTTGAACGGAGTAGAAATGTCCCTGCAAGACGCAGAACAGCCAGGAGCAGAAGGCGTTGTTCAGAATTGAAAAGAGGTTGACCTCCGGTGCCATGCAAAGTCCTTACTTACTTTCAACTGTTCCATCTTCAGAGCTTATGCCAACCAGTAGGGGGAGAAGCCATGTTACAGAGGTTGGTGGATGGACGCACGCACCTGCTTGCAGGTATATAGCATGGCGGTTTTGGTGTCCAAATCACTTGTGTCCCAGACCTGCCAAAAATCAGCCAGCGTCTCCACTTGTTCAGAGGAGGAAGATGAGTCCACGTGAATTTGAAAAACGGTTCAGTTTCTCCTTTTCTTGATAACAGCTAGGAATAATTTGCGCACTAAACAAAGCAATTAACCTAACACACCTGAGACGAACAAAAACAGCAGCACTCATCTTGTACCAAGGAGCGGCTAGAAGAATAGCAGAACCTGATAAGAAGTAAAATAGAGGCCTTATAGTGAGAAGATGAAATCAGTAACATTGTTCTGAATGGCATTCATGTTCGGGCCAGCATTGTCACGCCAACCAAGCGCGACGTGGTGCATGAAATATAGCTGGAAAAGCAGAGGCACAATAAGAGGGGGACTGAGGTGGAGAAACACAATGCAACAAAGGTTCTCCATAACGCACCACTTAACGTGATGCTAACTAAGGATCACTGGGTACAGAAAGGAGGAGAAAGAAGGCGTGCTGTGTACACACCAGTGCCGTTCCTGACTAGCTCTTCTCCCGTTTTAAGCATTCAAATTGTGTTTTCTTCATTCTTAGCTAGCAAAGCCCAGACAGCGGACGGGTTATGGCTCACCACCTTTCAGACCTCCTATCGGTTCAGGTGGCCTAAGACCCCATAGGTGACAAGCCCCCCACACATCAGCACTATTCAGGGCTGCCGTAAGCGCGAGATATCTGGCTGATAAGCTGTCTAGTTCCTGTACAGGTCAAGCTTGCCATCCGCATATCCAGTCCCCTCTCAACCCTTCACCCTCGTCCACTCCATAGGCTTCGTACATTTCCTGCTGGCCTAGCCTTCCAAGTATCCTTGCCTAGTCCTCCATAGAACACTTCTAGAACACGATGAGAATAAAGCAGCAGAACAATAGAAAGCAAGAGCATGAACATGAAGCACGGGTAAAGAGGTGGTCTTACAAAAGGGCGTCGCGAGGCGTGCCAACCATAAGCCCTTGTTGAAGACGCAGATCATGGGTTTGGTCCAGTCCGTCTTGATGACAGTCGCAAAAAATGAGGAGGACCACGCCACTATAATAGACGTCACGACCGGCAGGTCGCATGTGCGGCTTATGAATGTCACGCTCCTGCTCGTCCCCTGCAACTCGCGACGCACTTATGACACCTGGACACCAGCGGAGGAATTGTGCGAGGGCTCGAAAGTCCACGTCAGCCAATTGCTCCAGCATGGATGCTTCAAGAGCCTCATCGCGGATACAATGGTAAGTGTCCGCAAGGAGTTTCTCCCGGCAGTGCAACTGCCACAGGGACTCCTTAGCCATGCGATTAAGGGACTTCGAGACACACGCCATCCGCGCTAAGGCGCGAGGCCCCGCTGGCTCGACGCGGCAAAGAATGGCGTAGAGGAGGTCGGCGGGAAGAGATTCCATTGCGGGTGAGAAATAGCGACACCTTAGCGACGGGGAAAGGATAGCAGCGACGAACGCAGAGGAAAAACCACACGGAAAGATCGATTTCACGGCCTATCACTGTGATGCTGCGTTCGTATGGAAGGTGAAGCGGTGCTGGAGGGAAGCGATCCAGAGGGGTATAGCAGAGTCAGCAGGAGGCCGTGGAAGCGACGATAAGACTGCGGTTTGACGGATCCTACAGCCAGCCTGGGGATCGGCGATCGGTTTGGAATGCATTCCGGTGCCTAACCGCGCTGCTGTGGCTCGGGACTTCATCGACGCAACTGTAGGTTCGCACACCGCGAGAGCGCTGGCAGATTTCTGGGCCATAGAGAGCTGCGAGGCGGCAAACCTAACCTCGATCGATCATGTTCTTGTTCGGGGTGTGTGGTGTGGCGGAATGATGATCAGGTCTTGGGATCTTTGGGGACTGGCAGCACTGGGGAACTGCGAGCGAGCGAGCAAATCCAGTCCCGAGAGGAGAACGTGGCAGAAATAATCCCAGCCCAAGGCATCCGCTCTACTGCCAAATTTCGTGTTGAGGCGAAACTTCACTACAGTAAATGCAGTCGCTTGATGTTACAAGAAGTACTGTTTCTTCAACCATTTAAGGCTACATGGTTCACGTATTGCTACAGTTTGTTCCTGAAGTTCACGTATTAACCTCGTGGATGAATAGAACGGAAGGGGTGTGAAATAACTCAATCAATGGGTTAAAAATCCAAATGCTCATCATTGGCTGGGTGGGTCGAAGGTGCTGGGGTCCACCCAGTGCTTCTATCTTTTCCAATCAAACCAACCGCAGCTAATCCAGGGATGGATCCTAAGAAGAGAGCGCGCTAGGAGTGGAAGTTCTCGGAGTGGAGGCGACCCAGTGGTAGAGCAGGCTGGCACCGAAGCCAGTGCCGCCGCCCTTCTTCTCCCTCCACACCGGCCCTGCAATGTCCACATGCGCCCAAACATGGCAACCCCTCCACCACAAACTGGTGCCCAGGAACGGGGGCAGCAGACAGAGGGGCAGGAGACGAGAGGAGAGGCAGGAGGGGGAGTAAGTTCTCCTCGCATCACAATCCACACAAATCCGCCACAAACTGGTGCCCGGGAGTTGTGGCAGGACTGGTGGCAGGGAGTGGCGGCAGCAACAGAAGACAGAGAGGCAGGAGACAGGAGGGAGTGGTTGCAGGGAATGGTGGCAGGGAACAGAGGTCGGGGATGATAGGGAAAGAACAAATATGACGTTTGTAACAATTCACACAGATCCTGGTGCTTTTAAGCTTCCCAAAGGGAGAGAGGAAGTGGAGGGAAGCTAATGGAACAATGACTACCAGGAAGCAAATCTGGTCATCAGAGCATGAAGGAGAGGCAGAAAACAAACACACTCTCTCCCTCTCGCCTGCTGCCCGTGAAAGCCTGAAAACACACACATACACACACGCGCACGCGCGCGCACGCACACACGCACGCACACACGCACGCACGCACGCACGCACGCACGCACGCACGCACGCACGCACACACGCACACACACACACACACACACACACACACACACACACACGCGACCTTTCTTTCTCTTCCACTTTCAACCCTCCTACTTAAGGAGGGGCGCTGCACCCACCTACTTCATGAGGTGAATCATCGAGCCCGGGCCCGCCTTGAGGTTGTACCCGCCACTGGTGGGGGAGGAAGGGGGAATGGAAGAGCCAAGGGAGATGATTGGAGGGATGAGAGAACGAACTTCATGAGGTAAATCATTGAGCGCACGCCCACCTCCAGGTTGTACCTGCCACTGGTTCCAGGGAGGGGATGGGAGGGGATGGGTGGGGATGGGTGGGGATGGGTGGGGATGGGTGGGGATGAATGGGGATGGGAGGGGATGGGTGGGGATGGGGTAGAAGATATTTATGAGGTGAATTGCGTAGCTCTTGCCTGTGTAGCTGAGTAGATGGGTGTGCGGGGAGGGGGAGGCGAGGGGAGGGTTGGCATGAAAGACAAGAGGCAGGGTGACGATGAATGGGGGAGGGGATGCGAGGAGAGGCGATTTAGTAAGGAAATGAGCAGCTGCTGATGAGAGAAACACCCTAGAAGCTAATCATGTGCAACACATGGGGCATGTAGCGTCACGTGGGTGCGCGCACACAGTTTGGCGCGTGTGCAATTGGAGGCATGAGCGGGCATGAGCAGGCACAAGCAGGCACGAGCAGGCATGAGCAGGTATGAGCAGGCATGAGCAGGTATGAGCAGGCATGAGCAGGCATGAGCAGGCATGAGCAGGCATGAGCAGGCATGAGCAGGCATGAGCAGCCGTGCATACCTGCCAGATTTGAGTCCCTTGCCGAAACAGCTTCCTCAGCAGCTTCTCCTCTACCCGTTCACCAGCAGCACCGTCCACACCATCCATGGTAGCAGCAAGCGGCGTGTAGGTGCTACCCTACCATGACCAGACGAGAAACAGAAATGAAGCATGCATTCTGGCAATGCCACTCAGGTTGACATGACACGTTCTTTCACGTGGCTCAAAAGTCGTTATATTAACAACACTTCAAGCACCACTAAACTTGGCATGAAGCACTATAATACCAAGGACTCCACACAATCATACTCCTCTCTTTCTAACCGAACCACCTATTTCATCATTCCTCTTCCATCTCTTTGCCATCTCCCTCTCACCTTCCCATCCTTGCCTTCCTCCTCCTCGTATCCACTTCACTCCACCACCCCCCCTTCTTCCCCACTCCACTGTCCTTCACTCCCCCCCCCCTTCGCTTCCCACTCCCCTCTCCCCTTCACTCCCCTCCCCTTCGCTTCCCACTCCCCTCTCCCTTTCACTCCCTTCCCCTTCGCTTCCCTCTCCCTCCTCTTCACTCCCCGCGTCTTCCTCCCCTATCTCCTCCATCCCCTCATGTTCCTGCTCGGAGCCACCCAACACTCGCTCTTCCTCGTCCAGGTTCGCTGAACCGTATATCACCATCATATGCCGTGCCGAGAGGAGCGGGCACTGAGTGACAATGCACTCCTGGAGCTTCCCCATATGCTGCAGGCCCGTAGGTAGCACGGCCAGTTGCTCGCACTTGCACAGGTTCAACTCCTCCAGAGAAGAGAGCTTGCAGAATTCAGTTGGAAGACACAAGATTCCGGTTCTGGAGAAACAGCACACCTTCAGTCTGCGCAGATAAGGGAAGGACTCAGGAAGCCTGGTAAGGGCCGAACTGTCATGTATTTTCAGATACTGAAGCATCTTCAGCTGCCCGACTGACTCGGGCAGCTCAGTCAGGCTCAGGAGATTGTCGAGTTGAAGGGTTGTGAGCGCTGACAGCCTCCCTAGTGTTTCCGGCAGAGCTAGCAAGCCTTTGGCATGACTAACTGTGAGTGATTGCAAGCGAGAGAGGTGAGCGATGGAGTCTGGGAGCGAGGTGAGGCGATGCATTTCGAAAATTTCCAGCTTGGTTAGAGACAGGAAGGAGCCCAGCGATGCACCGAGCCGCTGCAGTGGAAGGGCTGTAAGCTTGAGGACCTCAAGGGATGGAAAGAACACAGATTCACCACTCTCCTTGGATCCCCCGCAGCTGAGGAGGGTGCTTCTCCCCTCAAGGTCATGCCCGGCCGCTCCCAGGTGTTCATCCCCAAACAGCGAGTGCAGCGAGCTGCAGAAACTCACTTCCAGCGATTTCAACCGCTGCAGCTGACACAGCGAGCAAGGGAGCGACTTCAAGTCAGGTAGGTTTGAGATCCTCAGCTTCTCGAGCCCTTCCAGCCGTCCGATCTCCGATGGCAGCGCCGTGATTCGCTGGCAGCTGAGCAGCACGAGTTTGGTGAGGTTGCGGGCGGTGGCAGGGAGGGAGGCGGGCAGGGCGGTCAGGTGCGGCAGGGAGGAGAGAGAGAGCTTCTTGAGGTTTGTGGAGCGAGCAAAACCGCCTGGCAGGGCGCCGCGAACGTTAAGTGCATCACGGATTTTTAGGGTTTCGAGGGAGGAGAGACTGGAGAGGGATGGAGGGAGGCGGGTGAGAGCCGTGCATGCGAGCAGAATCAGTTCGCGCAGGCTATGCAGACCATCCCCCATGCCTTGTGGTAACTCTGTCAGCTTGCAGCAGTAAATGATTTCCAACAGATCCAGGGAAGATAGGCGACTGATGGAGTCAGGAAGCTGCGCCAGTTGGCCGCATTCAGATATTTTCAGCTCCTTGAGGCTTGCGAGGTTGCCAAGCGATGCGGGCAGGCTGGTGAGTTGCGAAAGCTTACTCAGGCTCAGGGACTCTAGGGCAATCAACTGCCCGAGATCCTCGGGCAGAAATTGTGGGGCGGATGAATTCTCAAGGGAGAGCTCCTTCAGTGCGGATGCATGGCATACAGATCGAGGCAAGTCGAAGAGATCACCAACGTCCAGGCTGAGCGTGCGCAGGTGCGGCAATCGACCGATGCCGTGAGGCAGAATGTCGAGCGTCAGGTCGAGCAGTGTGAGGTCCGTGAGGGACGGCAGATGCGCGAGGGAGTCAGGCAAGGAGGTTATATCTTCGCAGCCGATCACGGACAGGAGCCGCAACCGCTGCAGGTTTCCAAGGCTCGCGGGCAGGTTTGTGATCCCCCCCACCGCCTCCAGTCGTAGGGTTTCAAGCGCCGGCAGGTCTCCGATACTCTCCGGCAGGGGTGAAAGGTACTCGCAGCACAGAATCTCGAGGGCCAGCAGCGACGACAGGTCGGAGATGGATTCGGGCAGCTGAAGAAATGCGGAGCCGCCGATGGAAAGATGCGTCAAGTTGGCGAGCTGCCCGAAAGACTCGGGAAAGGATCTGAGACGCATGCAGCCGTTCAGCTGCAGCGATTTCAGCAGCCCCAAATTCCCGAAATTCTGAGGCAGCTGATCCAGGCCGTACATTTCACTCGCCGTGAGATGCTCGAGTGCCTGTAACGATGTAAACGCGTCTGGGAGGCGAGGGCCGTCGATGATGTGTAGGCTCTTGAGTGTAACAAGGCCGCCGATTGACGGAGGGATGGCGGCTAACTTCGACTGACAGAAGAGTACAAGGTTCTCCAAACGCGTGCATTTTTCAAAAAGAGAAGAAAGTCCGGATTCCGTGAAGCCCCCGCCGCGTCTGTAACGTCGTTTCATCGTATCGATGTGGAGGTCCGTCAGATTTGGACACGTGTCGGCAATCCGCGAGAGGAGAAAGTCGGGAACGGACGTGACGCTCCCGACGGCGAGGACGAGCTTTCGCAGCCTTGGGAATGACGAGAGGTGCAGCTCGTGAGGACGCATGCGACGCCTTTCGCGAATCTGGATAAGTTCGTGCAGGAGACGGGCAATGCAATACCATTTCTTGCAAACAACCGCGTGCTGGAACTTGCCGTCGGATCGTGCGACAAGATCTAGGATAGTGGCGAGAAGATCGTCTGACAGCCGTTCGATCGGCGACATGGCAGGCACTCTATGAAACGCAACTACGAAAGTGTTGAAAAGACTAGAGAGCTGTGATGGGAGTGGTCATAACAACACCGAGGCTGGCTGGATTCAAATAGCAGAAAAACACCATCTGTTTACTCCCACGAAAGAAGAAAGGACGGTGACCGATCAGGCCCGCGCGAGCCCCGATTCCTTCGGGAGGGCTTCTTCTTGTGCGGTTCGTCACACATCTGCGCCGACATATCTCCTAACGCAAGATTCTAACTCCATCGTCAAATAAGGGCGACGTCAGGTTGTACATTTCTCGGCACCTTTACAGTTCTTGTATGATTCCACAGAGCTCAGAATGGTTCCACACGGTGGGAAGCGGTTCTTAGCCTTTACCGTTTTGCACCGTGAAGAAACGGAGTTGAGGCTATAGAAGTTGTACAACCTGACATCGCCAGGGAGCCGAGCACTTGTTTGGCATCAACTTGCCTTGATCCCTGATGGCACAAAGCAGGGTCCGAAGCTGGTGCACGACTGAAACAAGTGGATGTCGAGTCATTTCAGCTGTTCGATCTAGAAATCCGATGGTTGAAAATCGTCGACATCCCTTGATGTTCTGTTGAGGGATGTGTTTCGGCAATTTTGGACACCAGAAAAACCGCCAGCTCACCCACATTCACCTATCAACAGCAAGACCCACACGATTCCTCAGGAAGGAAATTCGTTGCAGTCCTATAGCAAAACAGTTATAACAAGATATTTTGTAAAAATTGGGCCATTTTTATCGTGTTTTCCTCTCTAGGAGGGTATAACAAAAGAACCTACCAAACAAAATAGTCTCACTCTTGGAAAATCTTCAATTCACTGGCTGAACTGGATAGAAGGGGATCGATTCCAACAATGGCTTCCAGATCAATTGAGAGCGGCGAAGCAGCGGGGTCCATCTAGTGCTTCTCATTTTTTCCCAGTTTTTTACTGGCCCCGCATATCCAACCGACTGTTAATACTAGGAATGTGAGCCTTAGGAGTAGGTAGGAGGCCTAGTCGGAGTGCGAGGCGACCCAGTGGTAGAGCAGGCTGGCGCCGAAGCCAGTGCCGCCGCCCTTCTTCTCACTCCACACCGGCCCTGCAATGTCCAGATGCGCCCATGGCAGCCCCTCCGCCACAAACTGGTAATGGGGAGTGGCGGCGGGGGATGGTGGCAGGGGATGGTGGCAGCAACAGCCAAGAAAGGGGCAGGAGACAGGAGGGAGAGGTTGCAGGGGAAGGTGGCAGGGAATGGTGGCAGCAACAGCAAACCGAAAGAGGCAGGGAACATGAAGGAGTGTAAGTTTGCCTCTTGTCATAATGCACACAAAAGTGCTGCTTCATAGCTAGCCCAGAGAGAGTTCGGAAGAGTGAGAGGAGCAACTGCAACATTGGATACCAAGTAGTCTGGCCAGCAGGGCATGAAGGCGTGGCAGGGCACATATCAAACACGCTCTCCCCTCTCGTCTGCTGCGACTGAGTGAAGAAACAAAGGGATGTGGGTGCCTTCACCTCTCAGTCTACCCACCTCTCATTCCCCACGCACCTGCTTGAGGAAGAGCGCTGCACGCACCTGCTTGAGGAAGAGCGCGGCAGTGATGGAGCCGCCCTCGCGGCCGCCAGTGTTGAGCATGTCGGCATGCTTGCTGCGCATGCCCTCCCAGTACGCCTCCTCCATGGGCATGCGCCACACCTTGTCGCCACACACCTTGGAAGAAGCTTCCAGTTCTGCTGACAGCTCATCGTTCGGGGTGAACAGACCTGGGAGTGGTGGCAGGGCGGAAGTTTGTGGCAGGGATAAAGTTGGTGGAGGTGGTTGGTTGTGGGGGTGTGAATGTATAAGGGAGGGATGTCCACTTGGGTATGGATGCATGCATGCGATGTCACGAGCGTACCAGCGATGTCATTGCCGAGGGCGATGATTGGCGATGATACAAGCGCCAGTGAGAGAGGCAACCTCTCAGTCTACTCAAAAGCCACCTCAGCAATGCATGTGAAGTGAAACGTGTACCAGCAATGTCATTCCCACCAGCCATGCCATGCCATGAGCATACCAGCGATGTCATTCCCGAGGGCGATGATGCAGGCGCCAGTGAGGGTGGCGACATCAACCATCTTCTCCACGCCCTGCTGCTGCGCGTACAGCAGCGCATCCGCCAGTGTCAGCCGCCCCTCCGCGTCCGTGTTGTTCACCTGCCAGGGGGATGGGCACAAGGGAAGGCATGAACGGGCGGGGAAGGTGCAGGGAAGGGGAGGAAGGGGAGGGGAAGGGGAGGAAGAAGCAGGAAAGGGGAGGGAGGGGGAATGTGAGAAAGGGGCGGAGAAGGTGAGGAAGGGTTGGGGAAGAGGAAGGGAGGGAGAAGGGGGAAAAGGGATGGGGCGGTTGTGCTATTGACAGTGGCAGAAGCAGTTAGAACACACCCAACCGCCATTCATCACAACAAGGGGTGGGGAGGGACGAGAGCCACAAAAGAGTGCAGGCAGAGTACTGCTTTTGTTACTTCAATCAGATGTAAACTGTACTTCCCATGAAGCATCTGCAAGTTATTTCCGCGCTGCACTGCTATCTCCTCACCTCAATGCTCTTGCCACACGTCACTGCTCTCGCCTCACCCCGCTGTTCTCACTGCACCGCACCTCACCATTCCACCTCACCTCGATAATTTTGCCATTGGAGGCGGTGATGATGTTGCCAGGCTTCAAGCCCTATGATGTAATTTTCCCCCGTCTCACTGCTCTCACATCACCTCACCTCACTGCTCTCGCGTCACCTCACTGTTCTCCCCTCACCTCAATGGTTTTGCCGTTGGAGGCGGTGATGATGTCGCCAGGCTTCAAGCCTCCTCCACTGACCATGTTCTCACACGCTGCTATGATGAAATGCACCTGGTGGAGTGGAGCACATGCCATGCACGGTGAACCCATCCACATGCAAGGAGCACGCACGCACGCACGCACGCACGCACGCACGCACGCACGCACGCACGCACACACACACACACACACACACACACACACACACACACTTGATCAGACATCATGTGGAAACCATCAAACCTTCATGTTGTTTCCACTGTGCCACAGCCCACAGCCCGTGGCACGGCATTCCTGTGGCAGGGTGAGTTTGTAAATACAGTGCATCCTTCTATTTTCTCTTTTAGGGTGCTACAGGAGCAGGTGGGTGGAGAGATGGCGGGCAAAACCTCACCTGGACCCCGGGCGGCTGGATGGCAGCGATGGCCTTGGCAGCGCCCAGCACAGCAGCAGCGCCGCCCATGTCAAACTTCATGAGGTGAATCATTGACCCCGGCCCCGCCTTCAGGTTGTACCCGCCACTGGTGCAAAGGAAAGGGTGGAAATCGGTGGGGATGGGTGGGAACGGGATGGGAGTTCTTCAGGTGGTGAATGGTGGAACCCGGGCCCGCCTTGAGGTTGTACCCGCCACTGGTGGGTGAGATAAGCGGGGAAGGAGAGGGGGTGAAGCAGAGGGGGTGAAGCAGAGGGGGTGAAGCAGAGGGCCAGAGGGGGTGAAGCTTAGGAAGTGAAGCAGAAGCAGAGGCAAGGGAGATGATTGGAGGGATGAGAGAATGTCAACCTTCACGCGGTGAATCACGAGGAGAATGTCAAGGAAAGGGAAGAGGGAGGGGAAGGGAAGGGAAGAGGGAAGGGAAGGGAAGAGGGAAGGGAAGGGAAGAGGGAAGGGAAGGGAAGCGAAGGGAAGGGAAGGGAAGGGAAGGGAAGGGATGGTAAGAAAGAAGGGAAGGGAAGAGGGAAGCGAAGGGAAGGGAAGGAGAGGGAATGGATGGTAAGAGGGAAGGGAAGGGAAGAGGGAGGGGAAGGGAAGGGAATAGGGAAGGGAAGGGAAGGGAAGGGAAGGGAAGGGAAGGGAAGGGAAGGGAAGGGAAGGGAAGGGAAGGGAAGGGAAGGGAAGGGAAGGGAAGGGAAGGGAAGGGAAGGGAAGGGAAGGGAAGGGAAGGGAAGGGAAGGGAAGGGAAGGGAAGGGAAGGGAAGGGAAGGGAAGGGAAGGGAAGGGAAGGGAAGGGAACGGATGTGATGAAGCGGGAGGGGGGATGAGGAGCCATGCGTACCTGTCAAAGGTGAGTCCCTTGCCGATCAGAGCCAGTTTCTTCAGCGGCTTCTCCTCGCCCCCCTCGCCATTCCCAGCAGCAGGCGGTGTGTACGTGACGTGGATGAACTTGGGCGGGTTGTCTGCCGCTGATGCCTCCGCCACTGCCAGGTACGACCCCATGCCCAGGGCGGCACATTCGTCCTTTTCCAGCACGCGCGCGCTCAGCACGTCCGCGTGGGCGGCAGTCAGGTTCACCGCCACGTCAGCGAGGACAGCTGGCGTGAGCACATTGGGCGGCGCGTTGACGAGCTGCTTGGTGAGGATGATTCCCGCCGCCAGCCTCTCCGCCTCGAACACGTCCCTCTGGAGGGACTCCGCGTCACCCAGCCCCACCACTTGCAACTCCTTCACACCCCTCTCTGCCTTCGCCTTCTCCTTTTCTTCCGATTTAAACCGAACATCCTCGAAGCTGCCTACTATGGCGCCCGTGACTATCCCCCGAACCGCGCTCCCGGCTTTAATTTCCTGCCCCTCCGCCGCCTCCGGTTTGCCCAGGAACGCGAGGGATACCTTGCTGGCTTGATTCGTTTTAGCGGCGCTCGCTATAGCGGAGCCTACCCCCTGCCACGAGCCGGCCTCCCCCTTTAAAAGCACATCCGGCTTGCCCAGCCCCAGCAGCGCGATTCTTTTGAACGGCTGCCCGGGAACGCGGAGGACTTGCGACACCTGCCCGGGTTTCGCTCTGAAGTCCGGGTCGGATGCCAGCTCAGCGAGGGCGCCTGACAGCGTGGCATCGAGAGACGCCAGCTCAGCACCGCCTGGCGCGTCAGCAGCGAAGCCAGTAAAATTAGCTGCTGACGTGTCGTCGCGGGAGAGGGCGGAGTCGAAGACGGCGAGGAGTAGCAGGTCGGAGGGGAGGGAAAGCGGCGGAGAGGAGGGGTCGAAGGAGACGGACACCTGGCATAGACGAGGAGAGAGGGCGGTGAGGAATATGGGAGCCGGGATGAATTGTGAAGGGAAAGGAGGAAAGGGATGGGAAAGAAGAGAGAGGGAGGGGACAGGAGTGCCGAGGGGAAGGGGGTGGAGGGGTGGGGAGAAACGAGTGAGAGTAATTGGCATGAATTGACAGACGTGGCGTTATAACGAGGGCAGTGGCACTATACCGAGGGCAGTGCCACTATACCGAGGGCAGTGGTACTATACCGAGGGCAGTGGCACTATACCGAGGGCAGTGGCACTATACCGAGGGCAGTGGTACTATACCGAGGGCAGTGGCGCTATACCGAGGTCAGTGGCGCTATAACGAGGGAAGTGGCGCTATACCGAGGGCAGGACGGCGTTCCCCGGGACGGTGAGGCCCACCACGCCTTCTCCGCGCACAGCCTGCGCCGCTACCGCTGACATCCCGCGCCTCCCCCCTCGCTGGCGCAAGGCGGGCTGCGCCGACTGGCGGAAGGCGGCGGACGCGGAAACCGCTGCTGGCGCTGTGGCTGAAGAGGTAGGTGGTAAAATGAAAGTGTTCTGTTACCAAGCAGAAATTGCTCATGATGCAACGTAAGATTAAACCGATCGGTAGAATGTCTGGTCTATTGCTTGTGTTCCAGTTATAGTTTCGTAAGGATTCTTGTGCGGAGAATTCGTCGAACATAATTACGCATGTCAGCCCACATAAGGAACTTAAAGGTAAGATGGGATTGCAGACCAAGAGAGATGACAGCAACGGACAAAATTACAACTAACTCATGCGCCGAGCTCGGCCCACCGCTGCTCACCTGCGATCGGCACGTATCGGCGCGCAGCGGGAGCAAGCGCAGCTCCCGCAAGCTCCGAATCAATGAAGGATGCGAGTCTGCGCTGACTGACGCCGGCCGATCGCCTGCTTGTGGACAGACACACTCTGCCAACTGACAGAGACGTCGCGGCCATCCGTTGGCGTGCGACTGGCGATCGCGCAGCGGTAGCGGCACGGAGGAAAGAGTTAGGGAAGACGACTGCACGGACGGCGCGTGCGATGCTGGTCATGAACGTTGGCAGAGTGGCAAGGGGAGATTACGAGCTGCGAGACACTTGGGAAATGAAATGTGAAAATTCCACATGTGAGTCTGGTTCATGCCTGCCTGAGGGAGCTGCTGAAGGGGGAGGTTGCTGAGGACGTGTCCCCTCCCTCGATCGATCGCGCGATCGCCAGGTTTAACCGATCGGGCACATCGAGCGCAGGTTTGGGGCTCGGTTGGGAGAAGGTGACAGGCGATCACCAATCGCCTGCTGGTTTCGAGCCCCAGGTCACAGTCTCGGTACTACAGTAGGCTGTAAGGGACGACATCCCAACAGTGTGGCGACAATCTGTGCACGGTCGCATGGCTAGCTGCGATAAACTGTGGTGGATTCAGGGTAATCGGTGAACTGTGCCACGGTGATCGACCGTGGCTCTCACACTAACGCGGGCCTGGTGCTCGGGAGCGAACCACAAGCTTGGAAGGTCTGCGTTGGGACAGCGATCGAGATCGATAGGAGGTGACAGGTTCGTGAAACACAATCTACTGTATATTTGTAAATGTTCTCGAAACAGGGTTACGCTGGAAACTGCTAAGCTACAGTTTTTACTGTGGTCCTGAAAATCGATCGCGGGATAGAAGATCGAGGGAGGGGATGCGTCCTGGGCTGATGTGTCTGTCAGGGATAGACAACCACGGTAACCGGACATTTGTTCGTTCACACCCTTAGACGCGAACGTTTTCTGGAGGTTCCTGGCATCCCTCAAAAAATGAAAACGACCTTTCTTCTGGAACTGCTCCTCGATTGTTCAGTGTACGCGGCGTGACGTGAGTGGTTGGAAACAGGGCTATTGCTAGGATTTTTGCTAGCTCGGACGATCCGGGCCCCTGTGAAAAAGACCCTGTAAAATCCGAGCCAGCGGGAAAAAAACCTTGACGAATCCGGGTTCGAGCCAGAAAAGGCCTGAAAACATGCATTACCAGAATTTCGCGGGAAACTCACAGTGGGTTGCGCGAGGGCTGGGGAGATTGGAGATGGAGTGGCTCTGGAGGGGTGAGCGAGATACTTTTTGTAGACTTAGAAAAAAATACGATGAGGAAGAGTACATCGGGAGAACAGGGCAATCAGACACTCTCTCCTTATTGGCCTTCTAAGCCATGTCGACGTAGAACGGGGCAATCAGACACATGGAGGCCAACAAGGAGAGAGTGGTTAGGAAATTCACTAAAATTGGCCCAACGTGTGTTTAGAGGGAGACCGAGAGGAATGCAAGGCAGGTCGGGGAGAACATGTCTGCTAAAATTATACGGGTCCCCTTGAGAACTCCCCGGAGAGATCCGAGCTGACTCAAAAATCACCCTTCAGTTTTACGGGCTGGTCCGGAAAAAACCTTGTGAAAATCAGGGCTCCTAGAAAAAACACCCTATAATTTCAGTCAAAACAGGGTAATTGCCCTGATAACTTAGGCCTTGGTTGGAAAGGGATCTGCGTGTCTCACGTGTCAGTCTCAACCAAACACCTTCCTGGACTCTACAGAGTACACGTTTCACGGACACCAGATGGCCTCGGTACGGTATTCCGAAGCTCTCTGACCTCACTATTGGGAAAACTCGTTTCGGCCTGAAGCTGAGGGTAAACGTAGAAATCTTGTTATCTCGTTCATAGCAAGTCCAAGGCAATTGTAATTGTCAAATTTGCCATTCAGGTGGGCAAAATAACTAAGTTGAGTAAATACATATAGAACAATACGGTAATCATTTTGCATTTGCTGTAGCTTAGCTGCAACCGCAGAAGCAGGTGTCCCTGGCTACCAGACACCTGCCAAAAAACATGGGCTCTCCGTAACGTTGCACCATGGAGCATTGTCATGTCATGCCTCACCTATCCCATGCTGGAAAAAAAAGCAGATCGGGTGTCCCCAATCCAGTCCCCCCCTCCTACCCTAGCATTGATTTACCCGACTGCTTTTCTCATGTTACTCCTGCTCAAGCGCCCCCTTCCAAACCCACTCATTCCAAACCGTGGCCTAAAGAACCTCTTGTTTATCTCTCCCCCAAATGTCCCCTTCCCCAAACTGCTTGCCTCATGTTCCCCTCTCCCTTCTCACTGCCACCTTCGCTTGCTTCCTCCACTGCAATCCAGCCCTTCCCCGCTTCATCTCCACCTGCGATAAAATCTGTACCGTTGTCTGACACCGGACTCTCTGCACTAGGATCTTCTGCGAGTCTGCTGGGGCTGCCGGTCATGCTGCTGCTGCTCGAATTGGAAGTGCGTGCGTCCATGGCATACACGTCAGCAGTGGAAGCAGCGGCAGCTGAACTAGAACCCTCAGCACTTGCTGCAGCATCAGCAGAAAGGGCAACAGCAGCCGAGTCAGAAGCAGATGCACCACTCTCCTTGGAAAACGCAGGAGCAGCAGCTAGCGCAGCAGCAGCATTGTCCTTATGCAGCAGCAGGAAGCCCTGCACCGATGCCGGACTCACCGCCCGCTCGCGAAACAGCGCCGCAAACCCGTCAGCATCAGAAGCAGGCGAGTCGGGGAAGAAGCGGAGGAAGAGGCGGGCGAGCTGCGCGGAGGAGGCGTGGTCGAGCAGCAGGCGGAAGTCGATGCGGCCGGGGCGGATGAGGGCGGGGTCGAGGCGGTCGATGTGGTTGGTGGTCATGACGAGGATGCGCCTCTCCTGCGCTGCGATGCCGTCCAGCGCGTTCAGCAGCCCCGAGAAGGACAGGCTGTCCGCACAGCTGCCGTCCGCCTTGGAGCGGGCTGCAGTGAAGGCGGCGTCGATGTCCTCCAGCACCACCAGGTTGCACTGGTCGCAGTTGGTCAGTGCCGTGTGCAGCTACAGTGAGGGGGGGAAAAGGGGCAGACACACATGGGATGGATGGGGGGAATGTAAGGGTCCAGTGAAGGCGGCATCGATGTCCTCTAGGACCACTAGGTTGCACTGGTCGCAGTTGGTCAGTGCTGTGTGCAGCTGCAGGGGGGAGAGGGAGAGGGAGAGGGGTGCGGTGGGGATGGGTGGGAGGAATGATGAGACGCGGGGCAAATTATACGAAAAAAATGATTAGGAAACTTTGAGCAGGGGAGTACAGAGGCAGATCGGAAGAATTCAGGGAGTAGAGGAGAGAGTGGGAGTGTAGCACTCACCGAGTCATCGCTCATGCCGGAGGAGGCAAGGCTGATGACAGCGACGCCCAGCCCCAGCTCGCCCGCCATGGCCTGGATGAGCGACGTCTTGCCGCACCCCGGGGGCCCGTGGAACAGATACCCCCGCCGGTGGGGAATGCCGCGCTCCGCATACCACTTGGCGCCCGCCAGAAACTGCCGAGCGTCCTCCAGCAGCGCTGACGTGTCGCAATCCAGGACCACGCTGGACATCGGACGGACCTGCTTGTTCGCAGACCACCGCCAGCAGAACTGCCGGCAGTTCCAGCGCTGGATGGCTGTCAGCTTCTCTGCCTTGAGTTTCGCCATGGCGGCATCTGTAGCGGACTGCAGCACCGCCTGTAGCACGGCCTTGCTGGGAGCTTCAATCACCAGCTCCTCCTGATTTATTGAACGGATGAGCTCCGAGAATTCTGCTTCGCTGTCAAGCTGGCCGGGGCTGTTTTTTGTTTGAAAGAAAACTTTCGACCCCCTGAAGGTGATGTGCTGGGCAGCTTTAAGCTTGGGCATGAAGCGAAGCTCAGGCTTGTCACGGGATGAATCCGCGCCGTCATCGTCATTCCAGTTAATCTGCAGGGAGTATTCCGATGGCTTTAACTCCTTGTGCGAGTCGAGCCACTCCTCCACCCACTGGAATGCCTGGCTTTCGGGAGAAATGCTGATGGTGACATTCCCGCGCCGAATTACGTAGCTCCATAGAACCTGCAGGTAGGTCATTAGGGTTCGGCTGATGAACCCGAGCGCCACGAGCCATAGGCTTCCCGCGAAAAAATCGTTGTGCAGATATTGACGAAGAATGCCGTCCAGAAGGGGCGACGCGGCGTCAATGATCGTTGTCGCGAGCGGGTGAAGCGAGGAGGCAGGGGAGAGCGTGGCGTTAATGACGGTCTGCGCGAGGAAAAATGCGGGCCGGTTGTGCAGGCGGATGGCCGTTAGGTTGAACACGGATGTGGCATTGCCGGCTGTGAGATCCGAATTGTCGAATGAAGGATCGAACGGTGAAGAAGCCGAGGAGGGCTGACCGCCGAAAATACCGGACTGAAGGGGCATATTCAACGTCGCGGAAGAAAGTAGATCCAGCATGCTTTCAATTCGACGAATCTAGCGGCCACAGATCGTTGTAAGCAGGGTGCAACCGCTGTTGCACCGAGCAGTTACCAACAGGTAATGAAAACGGCACTGCTTCGCATTTTGGGTGACTAATGTTGTGGCATTTCACCGCCAAGCACCCTGCATGCGGCAGGCCTACGATCGGAGATGCTACAGGAGACTGCTGCCACGTGGTGATTGCCATTCTTCGACACTGCCTTCCTTTATACTTCGAACGATCACCCTAGTTGACGAGTCCTTGCGTGAGACCCAAAACAGATGCAGCGACTACCATTGCAAGGACGAGGCAAGAGGGACACGCGACTCGGAAGGGGCAGATGAAGGCGTGAAGTAGAAGCAACGAGGGAAGGAAGAACAGAGCGGGAAATTACAGCAAGTAACGAGACAGGCATCTCGCCACTAGCATAGTGAGCGAAGTGAAGCCCGTCAATCACGCCGATTGAACCTGTCAAGTTGAGTCGTTCCCGCCCCCCGAACTCGTAGCTTCCCACTCACGCGACAACCCCTAGGCTGAAATTCCCTCGTTTATGCTGATTCGGCTGGGATGATTGTAAATCGGTTTGGAAGTGAATGGAATAGGTTTCATAGTTGCAACATGTGGGAGGGGCGTATGGGCCAAGCCCAGGAATCAATTGTGGAGGACTGCGGCTTCACGAGCGACGTCTGCGAAAAGCCAGTGCGTGCGAAAGTTTCGGCTTCTCATTGGATAGACATCGTGGCGGGTTTCGGGTTTTGAGCAAGGGACAGAGTATGCGTGAAACTGAAGCCATCGCAGGGTGACTCGTTACCACAAGATCAACGACTACAGGTCCTAGCGACGGAGTTGAAGGGTTGACAAACGTGGTAACCTGACACCTGATTTTTCGCCATCCAAGCATTCTGGGTGGAAGTGGTTCAGGCGGTTTCTGTGCGTCGTCTGTGTTTGGGCCTGTGTCCCATATTGCTCCCTTCCTGTTATGAATTGTAATAGAAAGAGTGCATGGATGTTACGAGTTGTAAAAGAGAGTGCGCAGTTAAACGAATAACGAGGCTGTGACTGAAATCAACTGAGAATACAATGAATGCACAGACTAATGTAGGGCTAGCCTAGCTAGGAGGAAACCTCGGGCGAGCGAGGTTGGGTGCAGGTTTGGCGATGGGAATGCCGAAGGCGACGCGAGGAGCCTCGGCAGCGTGGAAATCGCCCGAACTGTCCGGTACCATGTTTTAATAGTAATCTTAAGAGAAACTGGGTTTAGGAAGAGAGAGGATGTTTGGCCAACTCTCTCTCCTAAACCCTAGTCTCTACTAGCTACTATTTTAACATGCTATCAGAGCCTATGACGGTCTAAGGACCTCGTTTCTCTTAAAGATAATGGGCCCGCCTATACTAAAGCGCGAAATGCGCCAATTCCTTTCCGTCCGCCCGTCCGCACGCTCGTTTCCCCCCGTTCCCGTCGCCCGCGGCCCCCCGTTCCCGTCGCCCGCGGCCCCCCGTTCCCGTCGCCCGCGGCCCCCCCGTTCCCGTCGCCCGCGGCCCCCCGTTCCCGTCGCCCGCGGCCCCCCGTTCCCGTCGCCCGCGGCCCCCCGTTCCCGTCGCCCGCGGCCCCCCGTTCCCGTCGCCCGCGGCCCCCCCGTTCCCGTCGCCCGCGGCCCCCCGTTCCCGTCGCCCGCGGCCCCCCGTTCCCGTCGCCCGCGGCCCCCCGTTCCCGTCGCCCGCGGCCCCCGTTTCGTCGCCCCGCGCCCCCCTTTCGTCGCCCCGCGCGGACGCCAGCGCCACGGCCAGCCGCGAGCGCCAGCGCGGCCCGCCAGCGCAGACGCCAGCGCAGCCGCCAGCCGCCAGCGCCTGCGCCACCATCAGCGCCAGCAGCAGCTACCGCCGCCCCACCCCCCCGCCCTCCCTTCCGCGGCTTCCGTAGTGGAGGGGGGGGGGGGAAGGGGGAAGGGGAGATGTGGGGGCGGCGGGTGTGAGCCTCCAGCAATCCGTCCCTCCCCTCTCTCTTCCTCTTTTCTTGCAGCACTAGTTGCTGTAGGAGAAAGGGGGGGGGGGATGAGAGATGGTAAGGGAGGGTAAGAGAGAGTGGTGGAACCAGTAGCCACGCATCTGCAGCTGCCGTCCACTGCTACTGTGGCACCTACTTCTGCAGCCCCTGACGCTTCTCCCTCTACGTTCGTCTTCTTTGCTGTTGAGCTGCAAACTAAGTGCGCCACAGCACATCGCCTTCTTTGCTGTTGAGCTGCAAACTAAGCGCGCCACAGCACATCGTCTTCGTTTTTTCTTTCTTGCCTCAGGGCTTGCTGCAGCTGTCTCTGCCACCACTGCACTGGTTGTCACTGCTCTTGCGTTCTGCTGCTTTGGTCTGCTCTGTGTACCCCTGCAGGTTGTGTTCTACACTGCTATTCCTGTACGCAGTTAAGGGGGGATGTCCGAGTTATGTTATTATAACTGCATACAAGTCTAGCTATAAGTATAATGGTGTTACATTTCTGTTAGGTGGTGCACCTCTTGGTTGTTCCTTGTATAACTCTCTCGTCACTTCTCAATGTCAGCCCTCTTTTGGCCAACTCTCTCTCCTAAACCCTAGTCTCTACTAGCTACTATTTTAACACGAACGTGCGAACTCCGAAAATCGGGTTGTACGCGCAGCAGTCAACCCCGATAAGGAATTCGGGAAAATTCCTTACACCACCCCCCCCCTTAAGAAAGGCGGTCAATATCCGAAACACACCGGCGCGCCAAGTAATCACCAACAAGTGGCGAGGCGTCGAGCGAGGCGGATGGCACCCACGTGTCGTCCTCACTGGTGCGATCAGTCCAGCGGATTAAGAAATCCACGTGTCGGCCAGCTGCGTCAAGTCGAACCCGATGTGCCAAAATCTTCGAAGGTTCGAGGATCGGCTCCGGGACAGGTCGTGCTGTCGGGGCAGCTTGCTGACGTGCGATGTCGGTCGTGGCTGGCACGAACTTGCGAAGCAGGCTGACGTGGAAGGCGTCATGAATTCGCCAGTCGTCCGGTAGCAACAGCTTCGCGGTGACAGGTGTCACCATCTTGATAATCTTGAACGGTCCGCAGAATCGTGGCCGTAGTTTCGTCGGGCCGGGCAGGTGCAGGTTCTTTGTGTTGAGGAGCACTGATTGCCCAGTAGTCAAGACGAGTTCCCGGCGTAGAAGGTCGGTGTACTTGCGGGAAGTAATATTCGCCTTGCGAATTGCGTCTGCGGCTTTCTCACGGATGTGCTGTAGTTCCGTCACAAAAGTCTGTGACCTTGGGACCGGGTTGTCGAGCGAAGTTGCCGTGGGAACCGTCGGATCCATCCCGTAATTGAGGAAAAACGGGGAGTGATTAGTCGTGCTTGACGGTGCGTTGTTGAAGGCGAACTCCAACATGGCGAGGGAATCTTCCCATCGTGCGGGGTCGGGGCAGTTTGTCCGTATCAGCTGCTCCATCGTCTGGTTGGTTCGCTCGGTTTGTCCGTCCGTCTGTGGGTGGTATGCCGATGAGAACTGTAGCTTCGTGCCGTACTGCGCCCATGTCTCTTTCCAGAATTTGGACGTAAATTTCGGGTCCCGGTCGGTGATGATCGCCGAAGGGATGCCGTGCAGTCGCACGACCGTTGAGATGAAGAGGCGCGCAGTTTCTTCGGCTGTGATTGTCGTACGTCATGGTGCGAAGTGTGCCATTTTCGTGAAGCGATTGACGACGACGAGGACGGCGTCGTTGCCGGACGGCCCAGCTGGCATCCCCGTGACGAAATCCATCGTCACCTGTTGCCACGATCGTTCGGGTGGCTCGAGGGGTTGCAGCAGCCCAGCTGGTCGCTGACGTGTCGATTTCATTGCTTGGCACACCCTGCATGAGGACACATAACGCTGCACATCGTTAGAAGAATCGGGCCAGTAATATTGACGGTGCAGTAATTTTTTGGTTTTATCAACCCCGAAGTGTCCGGAGTAATTCGAATCGTGGACCTCCTGGATGAGAAGTTCACGCAGCAGCCGGTAAGCGGGAACCCAAATCCGGTCGGTTCCGGCTTTTAGGTAATAGTCCCCTTTCTGCGTCGTGGCCTGCTGGTGGTTTCCGGTCGTGAAGAATGGGTCCGTAGTGTAGCCGTGGGTGAATAGTCCTGTAAGTAGCGGGTTCGAATGGGTTATCAGTACAGCAGCGGATTGTACGGTCGGTCTGGTCAGGGCGTCGGCGATGTTATTCGCCCCTTTCTTGTACGTGATGCGGTAGGTGAAGTGGCTCTCCATGTAATCCAGCCACCGAATCTGTTGCGGGTTGAGTTTCGGCTGAGCTCGCAGGTATTGTAGGGACTTGTGGTCCGTGCGCACAGTGACGTCGGCGCCCACCAGGTAGCAGCGCCACAGTTTAAACGCGTGGATTATGGCGAGCATCTCCTTGTCGTGGATCGGGTAGTTGCGCTCGGCAGCTTGCAGCTTGCGTGATTCGTAGGCGATCGGCTGCAGCCCGTTCCCGAAATCCTGGAGAAGCACTGCTCCGATGGCGAAATCAGAGGCGTCGGTTACGACTTCGAACGGCTTCGATGGGTCGGCGATGCGCAGCACAGGAGGGGAAACGAGAAAATTCTTGAGCTCCTGGAAAGCCGCCTCTGCTTCCTCCCCCCACACGAAATTCTTGTCCTTGTGCAGCAGGTCGGTCAGCGGGCCGGTTATCCCCGCCATATTCGGGATAAACCGCCGGACATAATTCACGAACCCCAGAAAACTCTGAAGCTCCGTGACATTAGTCGGGGCCTTCCACTCCTGGATGGTCTTGATTTTCGCCGGGTCGATTTTGATGCCGTCGCGGGAAATTACATGCCCCAAAAACCCCAACTCCTGCTTAAAAAACTCGCACTTAGAGCCCTTGGTGATGAGTCGGTTCTCCTGCAACCGTTTAAACACTGCGTCCAGGTCGCGGAGATGCTGCTCCCGTGTCTTGCTAAAAATCAGGATATCGTCCAAATAGACGATGACACATCGGTCTAGAAGA